AAAAAAAAAAAAAAAAAAAAAAAAAAAAAAAAGCGTAAGCTTGTGTAGAGCTCCAGGCTCTACAATGCACTGGATGGCCTTAAGTAGCTGTTGCACTGTTTTAAAAAGTACTTTCTGCTCTTTGGTCATTTCTTGACCCATGATAACCTAGCCCCTGATATCTCATGTGTGTGTCCCATCCTCCTGATGGGAGGAATCCCTTACCAGGATTACCCCAAAGTTTTTCAGCTTTTTACCTTCATGCGTAAATTCTAGGCGATCACGTTGGGGACATCAGTTGCAGAGCTTATAGCTTGCAGTGAATGCTGAGAATGAAGTACTGGGACGGTTCCAGCTGAGCAGGGCTAGAGGGTAGCTCTTCTGAGCGTCCGTCCGCCAAGTATTTATTGAAAGGGCTTGTATGAACTACAAACATCCACTAGATGGTCATTTGAGGTGGGTTACTGAGGCACCTGTGACCTTGTACACACTCAAACTGCATTCTCAGGAGGCTGTTTTCAGTGTTTCTTATTACACCACACACACTACTTCCTGTCCTGTTTTCAGGGTCAAGGAGCTTCATTCCCATGTACATACAAATAACATACCACTGCGTCAGTATTTTTCCATACCCCGACCTCAAATGTCATGTACATAAGCTCGAATATTTTGCCATGCGCTTCCCCCTCACAGCCCCGCATACGGTGGCGTGATCTCTGCTCACTGCAACCTCCATCTCCTGGGTTCCAGTGATTCTCCTGCTTCAGCCACCGGAGTAGCTGGGATTACAGGCACCCGCCACCACACCCAGCTAATTTTGTGTTTTTAGTAGAGATGGTGTTTCACCATGTTGGCCAGGCTGGCCTCAAACTCCTGACCTCAGGTGATCCACCTGCCTTGGCCTCCCAGAGTGCTGGGGTTACAGGCATGAGCCATCACACCTGGCCGGAAAGTTCATTTTTTTGAGATAGGGCCTCACTTGTTACCCAGGCTGGAGTGTAGTGGTTTGATCATAGCTCACTGTACCCTTGATCTCTTAGGCTCAAGCAATCCTCCCACCTGAGCCTCCCAAGTAGCTGAGACTACAGGCATGCACCACCACACCCAGATAACTTTTTTTTGTTCTTTATTTTTGTAGAGATGGGGATCTCACTGTGTTGCCCAGGCTGGTCTTGAACTCCTGGGCTCAAGTGATCCTCCAGCCTTGGCTTCCCAAAGAGTTAGGATTACAGGAATGAGCCACTGTGCCTGGCTGAAACCTTGCTTTTTCTTTCTTTCTTTTTCTTTTTTTTTTTTTTTTTTTTTTGAGAAGGAGTCCAGCTCTGTCACTCAGGCTGAAGTGTAATGGCATGATCTCAGCTTGCTGCAACCTCCACCTCCTGGGTTCAAGGGGTTCTCCTGCCTCAGCCTCCCGAGCAGCTGGGATTACAGGCATCTGCCACCACACCCAGCTAATTTTTGTATTTTTAGTAGAGACGGGGTTTTACCATGTTGGTCAGGCTGGTCTCAAACTCTTGACCTCAGGTGATCCACTCACCTTGGCCTCCCAAAGTGCTGGGATTACAGGCATGAGACACCGCGCCTGACCCGAAACCTTGCTTTTCTGACAGATCTGATTCACCCTACCTATAGCTTCCATTGCACCTTTTTTTTTTTTTTTTTTAAATGCTTTTCACAGTCTAGTGCCACTGGCTGTTGATAGGTCTCTGTCATTAGATGGTAACTCCTTGAAGCTTGTTTAATTTATCTCAATAACCATAGCACCTGGCCCTGTAAGGGGAAACTTTGTAAGTGTCCATTAATGTTTGAATATTTGCATTTATCACAACTCTTGTCCTAAGCCCTGACCCAGCGGCTCTGGAATAAGCAGCAGCACAGATTTGAGAGTTGGTCCCTGTGGCCGGGCATGGTGGCTCACGCCTGTAATCCCAGCACTTTGGGAGGCCAAGGTGGGCGGATCACGAGGTCAGGACATTGAGACCATCCTGGTTAACATGGCAAAATCCTGCCTCTACTAAAAATAAAAAAAATTAGGTGGGCATGGTGGCAGGCACCTGTAGTCCTAGCTACTTGAGAGGCTGAGGCAGGAGAATCACTTGAACCTGGGAGGTAGAGGTTGCAGTGAGCTGGGATTGTGACACTGCACTCTAGCCTGGGCAACAGAATGAGACTCATTCTCAGGGAAGAAAAAAAAAAAAGCTAGTCCATGTACCAGCCACATACAAAGAGGTGAGCTGGGTCAAAGAAACCCAGAAAGGGAGTCTGGAAGGAAAATCTGGGGTGATAAGGCAGCAGTGGAAACAGGCTTCACGCATGTGTGGGAAATGGACAAGGAGCCCCATGGACACTCTGGTCTTTGTTGTGTCCTTGCTGGTAACATGGAGGTGATTATGACATACCTCCTAGGTGGGGAAAGGAGACCCAAAAGTGATGACGTGAAAGTGTTTTGTGAAGTGTAAAATAAACGCCGGTGTACATGGTCAGTAGAGTTGATTGATACATCTCATGCGTTATTGCCAGTCTCCTTGTGTGACCCTGGACCTTGACCTCAGAGTCCTCTTTCATGTATTCAGGACAGTGATCACTGCTTTGCTGGACTGCTGTGAGGAGGTGAGGTGTACGGCAGACACTTAGGCCAGCCCCTCCTATCTCATGAGGAACACCTGGATAGTTTTCTAAAAATACAGATTCCTAGCACCCTATTCCCAAAATCAGAATTCTCTGGGAATGGAGCCAGCCTAGGAATCTGCATTTAAAACAAGCACTCCTCCAGGTGATTAGAATGGTTCAAGAAGGTGACTTTAAGAAACTGAGGCCAGGCGAGGTGGCTTATGCTTGTAATCCCAGCACTTTGGGATGCCGAGGCGGGCCGATCATTTGGTCGGGAGTTGGAGACCAGCCTGACCAACATAGTGAAACACCGCCTTTACTAAATAATACAAAAAACTGGCTGGGCGTGGTGGCAGGCGCCTGTAATTCCAGCTACTTGGGAGGCTGAGGCAGAAGAATCGCTTGAACCTAGGAGGCAGAGGTTGCAGTGAGCCGAGATTGAGCCATTGCATTCCAGCCCAGGCAACAGTGCGAGACTCCCTCTCAAAAACAAAAAAACACTGAGGCCAGGTGCAGTGGCTCATGCCTGTAATCCTAACCATTTGGGAAGCTGAGACAGGAGGATCACTCTAGCCCAGGAGTTCGAAAGCCTGCAGTGAGCTATGATGGTGCCACTGCACTCCAGTCTGGGTGATAGAGGGAGATCCTGTTCCCCCCCAACCCCTTAAAAGGAACATCGAAAGGATCAGTTAAGGTGTCATCAGGTGTGTGTGTGTGTTTAGGGGAGTAGGATGGGGAAGACTGTACTATCATCTCTGACCACAAGGTGGCAGCAGGGAGAGACAAGGAGAAACAGAAGTCTGGCTGGTGCTCACGTCCAGAGGGACTGGGATGGGCAAACCTGGCGATCAGGTTGTGGAAGGAGGTGGGCCCTGTATTACCACATGATCTCCTTTGCCAGGTGGAATCTCTGTTACCGCAGGGCTAATCCCCTGTGACCACTTGTCTGTCAGGTTTTTATGGTTTTTGCCACTCTGTCGGCAGGAAAGGCATTAGTGTGAGCTTGGCCTGGCTGTGGGTGACGATAGTGTGTGTTCCACGGGGGTGAGAATGGGAGGCAAGGGGTGTGTCACATCCCCAGATGTGTTCATTAGGCAGGGTCACCTACACAGGGCAGCTTACTCAAAGAACACCAGTGCCTGTTGAAAGCAGTGTCCTTCACCCCTTGCTACTAGGTTTGTGGTTGTAGGTACCTCTCCGGAGAGGCTGACTTCTGCAGCTGGGGAGCTGGCCAAAGACCAGGCAAAGGATGCTGGGCTGGGCCTAGCCTGGCTGTTGGTGGTGGGGGGGCAGGAGCAGGAAATACAGGATGGGGCAGCTGCCTCTGGAAGCAGCCAAAATGTCCCCAGCTGTAGCAGGGGTGAGTAGAGGATTAGGTAACAGTCCCCTAATACAGCCCGGAACTAACACCCTCCTCCCCCTCACACAGGCACCCTGGCCTGCCTCCTCCAAGCCTGCCAGAGCTCAGAATAACCCTGAGAACCAGGCAGCAGGATGGCAGGGCCTCTGCTTGGGGTCCTGCTCCTCTTGGGGCTCCTCGGTATGGACTGTGGCTGGGGGAGGCAACTGGACACATACAGATACTGTCATAAAGGGACTGGGAAGGCAAAGACAGACCAAGATGGAGACTGAGACACAGTATTTGGTCCCCAGGCACAGTATAATTGGTTTAGGAGACAGATACCAATAATACACAGCCGCAGAGGCCTGTGAGGACCCAGAGGAGGCAGAGAGGAGAGCTGCTCCAGCCTCTTCATTGCCAATGACCTTTTCTTCTTGACCCCATCACAGGCAGGGGTGTGGGGGAGAACGAGGAGCTGCGTCTTTATCACCATCTCTTCGACAACTATGACCCAGGAAGCCGGCCAGCACGGGGGCCTGAGGATACTGTCACCATCAGCCTAAAGGTCACCCTGACGAATCTCATCTCACTGGTAAGATATCCCCACCCTCACTTCAAGCCTAAAATTCCACTTCTGGCCCCAGCCGCTGAGGTGTCCTAAAGCTCACATCTGGCCCTGAAATCTCACTTCAATCCATCCCCATCTCTCATCTGCAGAATGAAAAAGAGGAGACTCTCACCACCAGCGTCTGGATTGGAATCGTGAGTCAAATCTGGGGGGAAGTGTGAGGTCTTGTGCAGGGGACCCCTTTAATTCAGATCCCCTCCAGGCAGTGCCAGCTGGGAGATGCAGGGCACATGTCCTTCCATCCCCCACTCCTTAGGATTGGCAGGATTACCGACTTAACTACAGCAAGGATGACTTTGGGGGCATAGAAACCCTGAGAGTCCCTTCAGAACTCGTATGGCTGCCAGAGATTGTGCTGGAGAACAAGTGAGGAGCGGGCTGGACGCCAGGCTGGAGGGAAGCTGGCCTGGGGTGCGGGCTGGACTTGGCTGGGGAAGGGGATACTCCGAGGGGATGTGGATCTGTGCAAAAAGCTCGGTTTCGCCGAGCCCACAGTATTGACGGCCAGTTCGGCGTGGCCTACGATGCCAATGTGTTGATCTACGAGGGCGGCTCCGTGACGTGGTTGCCTCCGGCCATCTACCGCAGTGTCTGCGCCGTGGAGGTCACCTACTTCCCCTTCGACTGGCAGAACTGCTCGCTCATTTTCCGGTGGGAAGAGTTACTCGCAGGCTCGGATGATTATGGGAGGGACCTGTGGGGGTGGGGCCAGCTGGGAAGCACCGCCCTCGGGGGGGGGGGCTCACGCTGGAGGTGGAGCCAGGCATCAGCAGTGGGAGGGACGCTCCAGCGAGGCCAGAGGTCCAGGTGGGAACAGGGGTAAGTGGGCTGGGCCTGGGTGAAGGGGTGGAGCCTCACGGCCCAGCAAGATCCCAGCTTCCAAGGTTGGGCCTGGGGCCAGGGCCCAGGTCAGAGCTTGTGGGGTGGGCGCCCGGCCCTGGCTCCACAGCTCCCAGACGTACAATGCCAAGGAAGTGGAGTTAACCTTTGCCGTAGACGACGATGGTGTGACTATCAACAAGATCGACATCGACACTGAGGCCTATACTGGTGAATGCCCGGCCTGCTCAGAAAAACCTGCTTCTGGACAGGGTCGAGAGGGGACTTCCAGAGTGGGGTTGCCCCTGACCAACAACACTGGAGGATGACTTCCGCAACTGGGTTTACCTTGCCCCTGTCCTGAAATCATTTTTTATTTTTATTTATTTTTTTTTTTTTGAGACGGAGTTTCGCTCTTGTTACCCAGGCTGGAGTGCAATGGCGCGATCTCGGCTCACCGCAACCTCCGCCTCCTGGGTTCAGGCAATTCTCCTGTCTCAGCCTCCTGAGTAGCTGGGATTACAGGCATGCGCCACCATGCCCAGCTAATTTTTTGTATTTTTAGTAGAGACGGGGTTTCACCATGTTGACCAGGATGGTCTCGATCTCTTGACCTCGCGATCCACCCGCCTCGGCCTCCCAAAGTGCTGGGATTACAGGCTTGAGCCACCGCGCCCGGCCATTTTTTATTTTTTTTAAAAAGACGTAGTTTCGTCCTTGTCGCCCAGGCTGGAGTGTAGTGGCACGATCTCAGCTCACTGAAACCTCCGCTTCCCAGGTTCAAGCGACTCTCCAACCTCAGCCTCCTGAGTAGCTGAGATTATAGCTGCATGCCACCATGCCCAGCTAATTTTTGTATTTTTAGTAGAGATGGGGTTCGAACTCCTGACCTCAGGTGATCCACCCACCTCAAAGTGCTGGGATTACAGGCGTGAAACACCAGGCCCGGCCTCCGAAATCATTCTCCACTGTTACTCTAGTCCTGCTTTCTCACTTTCTATACCCTCACCGACAATGCCCCTTTCCGCCCAAATTGCCCCCATCCTGACGGCCCATGACCCTGGTGCAGACAGCTGCAGCCACCGCCTCGGCCCGCTGTCGGCTTGGCGGGCGCCCCGCTCCGGCTGACCGTGACCCCGTCCCCACAGAGAACGGCGAGTGGGCCATCGACTTCTGCCCGGGGGTGATCCACCGCCACGACATTGGTGCCACCGACGGCCCAGGGGAGACTAACGTCATCTACTCACTTATCATCCGACGGAAGCCGCTCTTCTACGTCATTAACATCATCGTGCCCTGCGTGCTCATCTCGGGTCTGGTGCTGCTCGCCTACTTCCTGCCTGCGCAGGGTAAGCAGTAGCCCCGAACCCACACCCAAACCGGGCTAGCTCCCAGAGGTGGGGCCTGCTCTCACCGGTGATCCCTCCAGCCGGCGGCCAGAAATGCACGGTTTCCATCAACGTCCTGCTCGCCCAGACAGTCTTCTTGTTCCTCATTGCCCAGAAAATCCCAGAGACTTCTCTGAGCGTGCCGCTGCTGGGCAGGTGAGGGCTAAGCGGGTCTGGGTGGTGCCCCTAGCAGGGGCGTGGCCAGTCTGACGGGCGGGGCCAAGGGCAGGCTTGGGCGGGGCCAGTCTGAAGGGCGGGGCCAAGGGCCGGCTGGGTGGGGCGTGGCAAAACCCTGAGACCCCGGGAGAAGCTCTGGCTGTCTCGCCCCCTCCTGGGCTTTATTTGGACGTGGCATGGGGCCGGGACCGGGATGGATTCTCTGGTCCGCCGTCCTCCGCACTGCTGCTGGACATCACCTGGAGGTCTCCTGAGTATCTCTGTAGGGAGATGGTCCGGCTCAGTACCTTCCCAGCCCCGCCTCCTCTGACCCCCAACTCACCCGGCATCCCGAGCTCACCGGTTCTCTGGGGATTCCGAGGCCCAGCTGCTGTTGCCACTGTCGCAGGAATGAGGCAGACCCCTCCAGACCCCGTCCACATAGGCATAGCCATGCTCCCTGGACGAGGAGCCGTGTGCCGGTGCCCACTGCAGCCCCAGCTTGCCGAGCCCCCTGCCCAGCGGCCTGGGCTACTTGGGCCAGCGCTGCACTCGGATCCCCGATGTCTAGGGCTGGGCCCGTGCTGCTGTCGCCGCCCTCTAGTCGCCGTGCCTCCTGCTGCAGCCACAGGGCTGAGATCTGCATTGGGGACCCAAGGGTTAGGGGGAAGGTAGAGGTCCTTGCTGCAGCTGCCCGATCGCTGTGTATCCTCAGCCCCCCGGACCCCACCTCTAACAAGGTGGCGCCGAAGCTGACGAGGCTGGCCGCGGCTTCTCTTAACACCAGCCCCAGTGTGGGCTTTGGGGCAGGTGACATCTCCTGCACCTTTGGCTCCCGTGGCTCCAGGGACTTCAGCGCTCTGAACCTCTGCTCCAGATACTCATGGGCTGCGGCCACGGAGAGTTCCAGGGAAGACAGAAGCGGGGGCTGGAGGGCCACCTGGAGGAGGAGCAGGGCAGTAGTCACGGGGGCGCGCGGGAGAACTACCCATTGGGTCTCGAGGTGCCGCCCTCGGTGGGCGTAGCCTTACCTCGGTGGAGCTGTGGAAGTGGTAGACCCACATGAGGGTGTCCAGGGAGCTGGGGGTCCCCTTCATGGCCGCCACAGGTGGTAGGAAGGGAGAAGGGCTGGGCGATGCGTCTGTAGTTGCTGAGGGGGCGCAACTGGAGGGCGTAACCACGTGTTTGTGAGGTCAGAGGCGTGTTTGTGAGGTCAGAGGGTGCGCGGCACCTTCCGTAGCTGGGTGGGGGAGCGGTGACCTCACTCATTCCGGTCTCCTCAGGTTCCTTATTTTCGTCATGATTGTCGCCACACTCATTGTCATGAATTGCGTCATCGTGCTCAACGTGTCCCTGCGGACGCCCACCACCCACAGCATGTCCGTGCGTCTGCGCCACGTAAGCGTGGGGGTGGGGTATGGCCTGGGGTGGGGGCGGGCTTAGCCCTAGCCCTAGCCCTAGCCCTAGCCCTGCCCGCCGCGTCCCGCCCCCCGCTCCCCGCTCCCCCTCAGGTTCTACTGGAGCTGCTGCCGCACCTGCTGGGGTCCCCGCCGCCGCCCTCCGAGGCCCCCCTGGCCGCCTCGCCCCCAAGGCGGGCATCGTCGGTTGGCTTATTGCTCAGGGCGGAGGAGCTGATACTGAAAAAGCCGCGGAGTGAGCTTGTGTTTGAGGGACAGAGGCACCGCCACGGGACCTGGACAGGTGAGCACAGTGGCCCGGCGGGCCGCCTGCCGCAGAGGAGGCTCCTAACGGCCCACCTTGGTGTTTTCCCTGCCAGCTGCCTTCTGCCAGAGCCTGGGCGCTGCCGCCCCTGAGGTCCGCTGCTGTGTGGATACCGTGAACTTTGTGGCTGAGAGCACGAGAGACCAAGAGGCCACCAGTGAGGTGGGACGGGAGCCAGAGGCCGGTGGTGTGAGGCAGATCTCCCGTGCCCCTGGGTCCTGCAGCTCCCTCTTTACTGTGCTGACCCTTCCCCAGGAAGTGTCCGACTGGGTGCGCATGGGGAATGCCCTTGACAACATCTGCTTCTGGGCCGCTCTGGTGCTCTTCAGCGTGGGCTCCAGCCTCATCTTCCTCGGAGCCTACTTCAACCAAGTGCCTGATCTTCCCTTCCCGCCGTGTATCCAGCCTTAATGCACACTGACTTCAACTTCCTAACCAACTCTAGCAGGAAATGGATTTTGAAAAAATCAATTTCAAAATCACCACAGCCTTATGATCCCTCTGCTGGAGCGCATGGGAACCAAACACCCTCAGTGCTGGTGGCCCTCAGGCTCACAGGTTTAGGGGTGAGGCTGCCCTGGCCCTCCCACAGTCATTTTTTCTAGGTTTTCTTGGCCCAGCACTGCTCATGCTACCCTGTTGAGCCTCACTAATGGCAGATCTCGGCCCACCTTCTCCCTTTGTTCCCCACCCTGGAGGCTCTCTCTGCCTAGTATCCAGGACGGTGAGAGAAGGCAAAAATGGGGCCTGAATGGTGGGAGCTGGTTGAATTGTCTTTATTAACAAACAGGATATCCAAGGCCACTACATTGAGGAGGGGTGAGGGGAGGGAGGGAGGAGGGTTACTTGCTGCTCACACTATATACAGATGCAAGCAAGGGGCATAGAGAGTGAGGGCTCCCTGCTCCCTCCCTCCACCAGGGAAGGGCATGGGCTAGAAGAGATGAGGGTTAGGAGGGGGGAACGTTTTGGCTGGCGGGGGTCCCCCCTCCTTTCCTTGGAGTCTGGGGGAGGGGAATCATTAAAGTGCTTTCAGAAAATGAAGAAATGGTCCCTGCCCCTGGAGTGGCTGGTGACCCCCCCAAAAATCTAGGGCCCAGTGACCCCCCCCAGGGTCTGGTACATTCAAGGGGGGAGCCGGCTCCCCTGACGTGCAAATAAAGGGGTCTAGGACCCTGCCCAGTCAGCAGCAGTGGGGTAAGGGGTTCAAGCCCCAAGCACTCTCCTCTTAAATGGAGAAAAGGGGGGAGGGGCCAGGCCCACTCAATTCCTGGTAAGGGGTGGCTGTGTCCCTCCCCAGAAGATGGGGACAGGCACAGTTCTGGGAAGAGGACATGTTGGGGAAGGGGATGGTCACGTGATCACAAAGCATCAGGGATCAGAGGTCACGTTCCCAGCAGGCTCCAGTGAATCAAACCAGTAAAAGCAAAAGCCCAGGGAGAGGAAAGAGGAGCGGCCCAGGAAGCCTGGCTGCAGGGAGAGCTGGGTCCAGTGTTGGGCAGCCCCAGCCTAGGGTCCCGTCACCAGTTCATGATGCAGTTACGGTTCAGAGTCATGAAGTAAACTTGGCTGCTGCCCCCAGAGCGGACTGAGGCAAAAAACACCTAGTGGGGGCAGGAGGAGAAGTCACTAAGTGTTAGGGGTCTCAACTGGGAGAGGGGAAGAAAGTGGGGGCAGAAGACATAAGAGGGAGAGAGGCTTCGGATAAGAGTGCCCTCTCGTGGAGGAACGGGCCAGATGTTATGGGACAGGATGCAATACCCACCCCCTGGGTGGCAGCTGTAAAGTCCTCGGGAGCTGCAGAGAGCGCGGGGCTGTGGGAGGGAGTGATTGCTCTCCTCCAAGCTCCTAGAGAGGTCTGCTTGCAGGAAGATACCACCACCATCCTCTCCCCCAGAACTCTGCTCAGGGGCCGAAGGGCTTTCAGAGGGAAAGGGCCTCTCACCTTGTCATTCCGTTCACACAGGAACTTGAGCCTCTGGGCTCGTTTGTGCATGAAGACCCCGTCCAGGTGGCCTGTCTCCACAGAGCGGATCTCAATGGCTTTCTCACCCCAGCCCATTATCTGGTTGGAGCAGATGTAGGCTGTGGGGAACACATGTGAGGGGTTGAGCAGGGACCACTCCAGGGGCATGTGGCTCGGGGGCAGGGCTCACTCACCCACAGAGGTGGGCATCTCTCCCCACTGCAGCACCACATCCTTGATGATCCGCCCGTACGTGTTGACGTAGACACCCTCGTCCTCGTAGCACAGCAGCATCTCCATGCCGTCGGTGTTGGGGAGGAAGATGATGGCATGGGGTGTGATCTGGCTCTGGATCTGGGGAGGAGGAGGCAGGCTGGAGTCTCACGGCTGGCGCCCAGACTGGCCCATCCCATTCCCTAGCAGCACCGCCAAGCTCACATGCACAGGGATGTAGATGTCATAGCTGTTCCCCGAGTCGACATCCACGGCATGGAAGCCAGCACTGGAGCCGTAGATGACCTTGAGCCGCTGCCCCTCCTCCACTGTCAGGTCGACCAGCAGAGGGCGGTGAGGGAGGTCGGCAAAGGACTGCGGGCAATCGGAGGAGAGGAGGGCTCAGGGGCAGAGGGAGAGGCACTGGGACTAGGGATGGGGCTGGGGGCTGAGGCTGGGATTACCTTGAAGGCCATGAATTTGTGGTAGGGTTTAGGGGCCCAGGCATACACCTCCACGGAGCTCTTGAGGGCAATGACTAGGAACTTAATCCGTTCATATTTCACTGGGGGCAGAAGAAAGAGAGTTGCTGAGACTTCCCTTCTTGGGCCTGGGGCCCCTCCCTGTGTCTGTCACTAGACTGTCCCACCCAGGCCCCAAGTCCCTGGCTGCCAGGTTTTGATCCAGGCCCATTTCTCTATCTTCATGACGTGTTTGCTGGCCACTCTGTTGTGGCATCCTCACCAACACGGTAGTGGCCACAGCCCTCCATGTCCCCCACAGTGGTCCAGCCCTGCTTCTTCTCCACTTCTGGGTCGTTGTGTAGAATCTTGTTCCGGAGCCAGGACAGGTAATACACCCGCAGTTTGTTCCTTTTCCCTGAGAGACGGACGGACATACACACATCCCCATTCTCAGCTGAGGACCAGCTGCCACTGCCCTGCCCTCCTCTGTCTGCATACCACAAGGGGTGAGAAAGTGTGGCCCCACCTTCCAGCACCTGGACCAAGGCTGCCCTCCTCCCAGGCAGAAGGAGGTGACAGCGCCAAGGAGCTGAGCCCCTCCTCCCTCCCCCACTGGCCAGCCCTGTACCTGAGATGGTGATGAGCAGGTTGAGCCCCTCCAGCACATCCATTTGCTGGAAGCGTCGCCGCCCAATGAGTCCGTACACCTTGCCCTGTCCACTTCGGTCCAGCAACATCAGCCCATTCTCCGTGCCCACCAGCAGGTTGACCCCTGTGATAGGAGCCCTTGGCAGGTCAGAGGCTCAGCCAGGCCCTCATCTAACCAGGAGCATGGAAACCACACCAGACCCCTCTTAGCTACCCTTGGCCTGGCTTACCCCAAAGGGCTGCACAGAGAATCTCGGAGTTGAATCGCTTCTTGTACTTCCGGATCTCAGGGGTTTCACTGTGGGCCCGGGTGTTGGTGGGATTCACATTGACCACAGAACCCTTCCTCACGTCGTACTGCAGCTGGTCAAGCCGAGTGCCCTCTCCACCCACTAGGGCTGCCAGAAGGAGGAGGCGGAAGGAGCTGCAGCTTCTCATCCCAGCTCTTTTTCCCTCCATCCCCTCTATCAGGTCTTGGCATCTCATCATATGCAGAAAGGAGAGACATGGGAGGATGGGGAGGGGCATAGGAGGGGGGATAGGGCAAGGGCCTTGGAGTCAGAAGCCCTGTCTCAGGTCCCAGTTCTATCCCTCATTAGCTTTGAGCCTTTGCCCAGGTCCCTTGGCTATTCTAGGCATTTCCTCTCCTGTGGAGGGGTCACAAAAGCCTTTCCTTGCCTCTGTGCCTGGGCAGGAGTTAGGGCTCAAGGGAGAGGTCCTGTGCCTATGCTTTATAAGGCTGCGTCTCAAGACCACCTCTGCTCCCCGCAGGTTGCCCCTGGACCCCATCCTTACCTGTGACGGGGATGGTGTCCCCACTGCCTCCAGGCTGGTAGATCCCAAGATCCACAAACATTGTGAAGGAGCTCTTGCCAGGGGCCTTTACCAGCCCACGAGACTGGTACTGTCGTGGCGGGGGGGCAGCAGTCAGGCAAACAAGTGCAAGTCCAGCTTTGGCCTTGCCCCTGCTGCTGTTACCAGGCCCCAGCTCCCCAACTGGCACCCCCACTGGTCAGTTCCCAGTGCTCCACCCCATCCTCCCCTGAGACCCAGATCTCCTACCCACCACCAGGGGTCTTCTCTCCGACGGACCTGCCACCTGCCCACTTACGTCACTGCTCCCATCCTTCGAGGGGGGGCTTTGGCCTTTGCTGTTCTCGGTTGGGGAGTGGCTGGGCTGGACCACATCAGGCAGGTTTGTGTACCCGTTGCTGTCAGCATGCAGCAGGCTCCGCTCCTCTTCAGGGGTCTATGGGACAGAGAGCAGGGTCGGCACGGGGCTGAAGATGACACACAGGTACAGGGCAGGGGAGTGGAGGCTCACTCACACGCTGGACCACCATGGTGCCGCCCCCGTATGGGGGCTGGGTCCCGGTGATCTCCTCGACATCGTGGACCACCATGGTGCTGATGCTGTCTGTATCCCCATCGCTGCTGTGAAAAAAGAAGGTGGGGCTCCTCTAGGTCCTGCCCACCATGGAAATACCAAAGGCAGCAGATGGCAGCCAGAGCCCAGGCTTTTTCTCTGTTCAAAACAGCCTGCTCCACTGTGAGGTGCTTCCGTGCAGGGCACGCAGGGCAGGCTAGCACAGGGACAGATAGGCACCTGAAGAGGCCACCCCACAACACACATGACAGTGGGAGAGAGAAGGAACCTGCACCCTCAGCTCACTCTCTAGAGAAGGGAGCCACTCTCCTTCAGCCGGGCCTCAAAGCCCTACCTCTTCCCCCACTACTTCCTGCCCTCCATGTGACTTGGAGCAGGAGGGCCCCACCCTTGATGCCGTACCGGCCCCCAGGGGTGTCTCTGCTCCCCTCTGATGGCTCGCCTTCGCCCTCCTCCTCATCCTCCTCGCTGCTCTCCACCTCCTCGCTGGATGATGAGTAGTCCATGGCTTTCTTGGGAGGCCGAGGGGCCTCGTCCAGGGTCCGTTCTTTCAGCAACACGAAGTCCTGCAGGAAGGAGCCACGTGAGGGGCAGGGAGGTGGTGGGCCTGGGTGGAGGTAGACAAAGGGTGCTAGGAGGCCCTTGCAGGGCCATAGGAGAGGCTCCCACAAGCAGGCCCATCTCACTAACCTCACCAATCGCTCGCTTATAGCTCTGAGAGGGGCCACAAGGGAAGAAGAGCAGCCAGGAGAAAGGTTAGGAGAGAGGTTAGAAAATGTTAGTACCGTGAGAAGCATCAGGCCCTCCATCCCCACAGCCCTTCTCAGTAGGTCAGTGGAGACCCCACCCCTGATGCCATCCTGCTGCTAAGCCCCAAAGCAGGATGAGGCAGGCCATGCCTGCACCAGGTGACTCACTGCGGGCCGGCCTGGCCGAGAGCGGTGGTCATCAGGCTTGGCTTTATTCCCAGGGGAGAGCACTGGGGAGCTGTCCAGTTTGGAGGAGACTGGACACAGCAGGGTGGAAGAAGAAAGGTCATGAATACCTGGACAAAGGATGGCCTCAAGCCCACACCTGGGCTGACCCCTCGGCCCTGAGCCCCAGAACTCAGCCCCAAGTTCCATACCCACCCAGGTCCTCCCTGTCCCTGTGGGTGTCCCAGTCCAAAGCCACTGCAGGCAGGGTCCATCCTGATAAGACTCCAGGCCCAGAGCAGGCTGCCTGGCCCTGGCTAACGTACCTCCCACACGGTTCCGCTCCAGTGAGCCAGCCTGGGGGAGGTGCCCGTGAGAGGCTGGGAGAACGCTGTCTGAGCGTTCCCAGCCAGGGTCGCTCCTCCTGAGGTCAGGGTTACTGTTGGGGGAGCAGAGTCAGGGTCAGGGAGGCAGGGTGCTCCCCTCTCTG